CACACACACACACACACACACACACACACACACACATCCACGCCCAGACACACTTATATTCATCCGTTGAGTGGTATTTCCACTGCGAATGATGTAGCAGAAAATGAAATATAAAGAAGGAGCTGCTCGAACACATCATATACGACATACTCTTTCTGCATCGAGTTCAATTTGCGACCTTGGAATTCATTGCTGGCATATTAATTGAATTCTTCTGAAATTTCGTGCATGTTTCAGACACTGAACAATCACTTTACCTATGCACCACCGAGTAGCAAAACCGAAACCAGAAGAAATGTATGTCACCATAACTCCACTCCTTCTCTGTTTTTTTTTTCGGTTGGGGTAGAAAAGCTCTTGGGAAAAAGTTGATGTTGCAGGCGTGAGAAATTGCAGCGCAAATTGCGAGGATGCAAGAAATAAGTGTGAAAAAAAAATAAATTGAGCAGATTCGTTAGAAGTATCAAAAGTTTTCTCAACGCATAACGCCGACGCATAATTGCAAACATTTCATGCATATTGTATGTCAACAGCAGCCATAGCCACAGCCAGTCAACGTGTCACTGCTGACTATCGCAGTGTTGGATGCTGGGGATCATGCATTCACGCTTCGTATTCAATCAATTCGGAATGTAGGTCAGTTCAATGAACCATTTGCAATAGCGTAGGTCATTGTGAACTGAATAAATATTGGATTTTGTTCGTTCACTCGCTCACTTGCTCTGTATACAACTCTTTCGTCGTTCGTTATCTCGCTCTAATTCTTTTTCTGATTACATCGATGAGTGCCCCAGTAAAAAAGAGATGTGGGCATACATTGCGTTGATGTATGTGTATGTAATCGTCGTACAACTAAATAGAAAAAACACAAGAAGATAGAGAACTAAAAGAGAAAGAAACTTCAAAAAGAGAAATGGGAAAATAAAAGAAGACGAAAAAAAACACAACCCACGAGAAGAAGAAGTGCATTCCACTTGCATTTATTTGCTGGCAAATGTGTGACGGGGCAATTTTGCATGCGTAAAGCATTGCAACAAATCGTTGAGTTAAACTTTGTGCATCCCAAATAAACAAGCAAACTTAATTCATATGCGATCCATTGTAAGTTGTCAATAAAGCTCACACATTCAACCTTGAACACTTGACGACCCGAGTCAAATGTTCATCGTTCTCGTTTGGTTTGGGGCTTTCATTTTGTAATCCTTTTGAAAGCTAAACAAGCAATTGTGAAATAGAGAAAGAGAAAGAGTAAAAGGAAAATATACGTAGAGAGAGATAGAGAGATAGAGAGAAAGAGAGAGAGATAGAGAGCTATTGCTGCTGGTCTTGGTGTGCTTGTGCAGCTATACTTTGCACTTTCGTTATTTGTTGAATTTTGAATAACATTCAAACTTTTTTTTTCCTCTTTGTTTTTATTTACAGGTCCGGTGGGTAAACAAATCAAAGGAGGATACCTTTTACGATATAAACGTAAGTCATATTGAATATCGCGCACTCCGAAAATTTGTGCCAAAGAATGGGGGAAAAAAAGAAAAGAAATGAGAAAGGGCTCATTTTTGGTTGCTTTGCCCATCGCTATTATGCGACAAAAGAATAAAAAAAAGAACTGCCAAATTAGATTAAATCGAAGGCAGGTCGTAAGCATTGTTTTCGACTAACCACACTCAAAATTGAAATTTCTAATGCAATAAAATGTATAGACAAAAAACAACTTACACTCATAAAGGGAGGGAGAGCGGGAGAGAGAAAGAAAAGTTTATGTCTTTCCAGTCGAATCAATTTATTCTAATTTTGTGAGTGAATGCATTCATTGTGTGTGTGTGTGCGCTCGTGTGAAACAATATCTAACCCATCTATCAAAGCCGTTAATATCATAGAGTAGCTGGATTTTCCATTTTTTTCTTCTTCTTCAGTCAATTTCAAACCCACTCTCTCTCACACCATTTCCATCTCGATCTACATCGTTTTTTTTTCTCATTCTATTTACTCACACGCTCATCGTAAATTTATTCAATTCGCGACCTTGTAAAATATTCGACGAAGAAGAAAATGTTCTCTCCAAAAAAAAAACGAACTCCCCCGAAACCCCATAATATATTGAAATAAAATATTAGCATTCGATAAGAGAATTGCACAAAAGCTATCGTTTGTGGAGCGCAAAAGGCACAATCGGTGATATGGTTCAGTGAAAACCATACCGACTGTGGCGCATATATAGTACTATATATCTTGATTATGTGTAGCCAATCACCAGCTTCATACCCTTTTGTCCACGTGCAATGGGGAAAGAGCACACTTGGAACTCCATACAATGGGATGTGATGAATAAAGACACCCCGCGCTTCGCATTTCGCATTCTCTCACTCACTCGCTCGCTCACTCGCGCTTGCCAGGCATGGTCACACCGATAGACTTTGGCACAAATCAAATCGGAAATGAGAATCTCGACAAAATGTAAGCAGAATAATTTGACGAGAATTATTGATTTCAAACTTCTTATCGCGCTATAAAGTTGCCTTTCTGCACTCTTCTTTCTTCCTTCTTGTCTTGTGTGTAAATTACTTATTCTTGGAAAAATAAAAAGAAGGCGATGCCGTACTACGCACAAACACACCAACTGTAATTATAAATGAATGCAAGAGAAATATCTGTGTGACAAATGTGAGCAGCACATGGTGCAGTTGATTTAAAGGAAGAAAAACAAACGAAACCGATTGTATGTTTTCATGTTCATGATAAAGTTATCTTGTTTAAATTATTTGTGGGCAGAAAACTTCCATTTCCTTCGTAGCACAACCAGCACACAGCGGGGAAAGTTTCATTCATTTGCAAGTTTTGATCATTTAACCGTCATTTGGGTGTGATGTGATATGGCGACGCTTTTGTTTCGAGTATTTTTTTTAGAGTTCGAGTTTGAACAAGTGCGGTCGATTTGAATTGGATGGTTCGTTGGTTGGTTGGTTGGTTGGGTGTGACTATGCTCTATCAATACAAACCACATTCAATTTTATCATACCACCGACTGTATGGATATTAGGATTCTGATTGTTTGTCCTGAACAGTTATTGGATTTGGCTGGAATTTCGTTGAATCACACAGACACACACACGCCACCCCTCAAACTTCTCTCTCTTTCACTCTGTTCACTGATCGGTTGTCGGTCTTTCTCTTTCTCTTTCGGCTGTTTTTCCTTCTGTTTTGCCACCAAAGATTTAGCTAGATTGATATCTAATACTGGTTGTGATATTGTTCGCCTTCGTTTAGCGTCGATTGTACGACGAAAATGGGTAAATTGTTGTTGATAAAAAGATGAATGCAAACATATATACACGCACAGAAAAAGGAAAAATGAACATTATATCAACACATCTGCGAAGCAACAAAAAAACGAAAAAAAATTTCGTAAATTTGATGACTTCAGCGCGTTCAATGTATAATGGCTAATGCTGGGATGGTTGGCGAAGAATGGACGTCAACATCGAACAATAGCGTTCCATAGGGCAAAAAAATGTCTTAAACATGTAATAGATTTGTTATTTGAATTGAATTCATCGTAAATTTAACATGTCTGCTGTGTAGAAAAGGCAACTGCATGAATACAATTCGTACAGAGAACGCTTCATCATAAACATGTCATTCAATCAATAGCAGAGAAAAAATGTATCCAAGCTGTCCGTAGTTTAGGGGTAAAATTCCAAAGAAGAAACTAATACCAATTCCATTGAGGCTTCCGTTCAGACGATGTCAACATTGTTGACTCAATAATAACGAACGATATGACGATAAATTCGATTCATCTCCGCAGCAACAGCTAGGAATTGAATAAGACAAAAGACGCACACACACACACACACACAAGTGATTGAGGAAAGACGATGATGGTTGCGTAACCTAGACTCACTGAAAAAATGTTGGGAACTACTAAGAAGAAACCGAGTGCGAGAGAGAAAAGATAACCTTTTATTAAAATCTAGAGACTTAAATACTTTCGTTGGGCTCTTTCATCTAAATTACAGAAAGAAAAAATTCCCATACATTTCTCCGGGAACTTTCACATTTCCATTATTATTTCCATTCTCCATTACATGAACGGTTTTGCTATTGCACGCAAACAATTTTACACATTATCTATAATGAAGCACAAAACACGCGTTTATATTTGCTCGGCAAGTAGTTGGGCAGTATTAGTTGTTCAACTCTCTTCACATGGAAAAATCCATCACGTTGATAATTCGTTCCATTTTATTCGGACTATTGATTTGCCTGAAAAGAAAATCCAAAACCGGATTCACGTGAAGGTCTAGCTAGTGCACTACGGAGAGAGAGAGAGAGAGAGAGAGAGAGAGAGAGAGAGAGTCAAATCGACAAGGACATTGTGTTTTTTATGAACTCTCTGGCTGAGAATGACTCCAAAGTATTACTGATAGTTAAATATGATTTACTGATAGTTAAATATTTAGTTTTTCGACCTCTTGCATGTGTGTCTGTGTCCATGTATGCTAAATGTTGATCAATTGAAATGATATTTGCATCTGTGTGATGGATGTATCCTTCAAAACTTGTACGGAATATGCATTTATGTGGCAGAGAAATTGCGAGTGTGACAATTGAGATAATGACAGTTTGACAGTTGATTTTTTATTCTGCAAACGACAATCGGTGTGGCAACGATGATGCTCAATAATAGAAACATATTTATATATACACACACACACACACACACACACACACACACACACACACACACACA